TTGTTTCAGGCCTAATCTTTAGGTCTTTGATCCATTTTGAGTTTATTTTAGTAAATGGTGAAAAAGAGTGATTGATTTTCATTCTTTTACATGTGGCTGTCCAGTTTTCCGAGCACCATTTGTTGAAGAGACTTTCCTTCCTCCATTGTAGGCCCTCAGCTCCTTTGTCAAAGATTAGCTGTCCATAGATGTGTGGTTTTATTGGTACCTCAGATTTTAAACTCTTCCAAGTGGAGGTGTACGTGCTCACTGTGGGTCCTCACCCAAGTGAGGTATTGGTTTGGGCTTGGGATCAGGGTCTGATGCCCTGTATCTGGCCTCAGGATGAATGAAGGCAGGAAGGGAGCGGGAGGGTTGGCTGGACACTCTTGCGGGACACTTACACCAAGGACTGGGATCAATTTTCCCAGTTTGACAGATGGGGAAAGTCATGTCCTGAGATTGTTTTTATTCCACATTCCCAACATGGTAGGTGCTTTGATGGTGGCTGGAGCCAGGAGTGACCTGCCTTCAAATTCGGCGGCTGTCCTTGGAGCTAAGTCTCAGAGTTCTGGGGCTCCTGGCTGCTCCTGGGTCCTTGCCAGCACCTTGATCTCCCTAGGTGTTCTGTTCTGAGATGCCCTTGGCTGGCCCTGGGGTGTTTTCCCAGGAAAGTGTAAATGTCTTCAGGGGGAGATGGAGGTAGGGGACCTGGCCAGCCAAAGGACTATATAAAGCTGATGGGGGGCTGGGCTCCTGCAAGATGCTGCACCCTCCATTTCCCCTCTAGAAGGAAGGGGCTTATTATGAAGGAGGCAGTAGAGACCCTCCCTCTTGAAAGCTTCAGCCTGATCAGCCTCCTCTGGTGGTCCCCAGGCCTGTTTGTCCTCCTCTCTCTCCTCCAGCCACCTCATCATGGCCTCCCCTCACTCTCTCTGCTATCCTCACTGCCTGTCTCCTTCTGCCTGCCCCTCTCTCTCAGTGTGCTGGTGTGTCACTTTTTCTCGTTACATCCTAGACTGAAGAGCCCTGAGGTTTTGTCCTGTGTGTGATCACCCACCGCAGCCTGGCCCTCTTTGCATTTCCTCTTATGGACACTTGGTGGCACTGTGATCTAGGACGTGAACTATGCCTGGTTTGGCTAAGCTGCTAAGGGGGATTCGGAGGGGGTGGGTGTGTGCACTTCTCGGTGATATAGGAGAAGGAAAGGGGAAGTACTCAGAGGACGGGGTCGGGGATTGTAAAACAACTTTTTCCCCTGAATGTAAGAATAAAACCTATTAATTGTTAAAAAAAAAAAAAGAGAAAAAGATCAGAAAAAACCGAGGAAAATTAACCATGTTTCTGTACCTCGCAGTACCCTGGAGATAACTACTGTTAACATTTGTGCGTATTTCCTTCTAGTATGTTTCACTCTCTATTGCTCTCACTCCCAATCCTTCCTCCTCCCCCACTGGAAAAAAATTGGATTCAGGTTACAGTTGATCTTTATTACTTAGGGATTCCCTGTTTGCAAATTCACCTACTTGCTAAAATGTATTTGTAACCCCAGAATCAATACTTGTGGCTCTTTTGTGATCATTTGTGCATGTGTGTAGAAAGGTAAAAAATTTGAGTTGGCTGATGTGCTCATTGCCAGCTGAGTTGCAACAACATGACATTCCACCTTTTTGTTTCAGCTCTCGTCCTGTAAACGTGTCTTTTTCTTGGTCTACTTAGTGTTGCCCTTTTTGCATTTTTGTGCTTTTCATTGGTAATCTCGCTGTTTAAAATGACCCCCAAGTGTAGGTGCTGTCTAGGGTTCTTACGTGCAAGAAGGCTGTGATGTGCCTTACTGAGAAAATCTATGTTAGATAAACTTTGTTCAGGCAAGAGTTATAGTGCCATGAGTTCAAGGTTAATGAATCAACAGAATATAATAAACAAGGTGTCTTTAAAACAGAAACACATAATACAAAGTTATGTGCTGATTAGTTGACGAAAATGTTGTATCAGAGGTTGGCAGGAAGCTAACCTGCATTTACCGTGGGAGCGATGGTTCCGGGCTCACTAATTCAGGGTTCTTCATGATGTATAGAACGTGTACTGCCACCAATAATGAGGATCAACCGTATCTATGCAGTTTGGCAAACTGCTTTTATTGTCTAATATTTCCTTAGGTTATTAAATAGCCTCTGAAATCAATTTTTTGATGACTGCATAATACTCCATTAGATGAATATAACATAACTTTTAACCTATTTTTGGATAATTTTTGTTGTAATTTTCTTCTTTTATGAAAAACTCTGTGACAAATCAGTGTACAGGAATCTTTGTCCATCTTCTGATTGCTTTTCCACAGGGAAGTTTCTAGAACTGGGGAGAGGTCACACATTTTAAAGTATTTGATACCGATGGCCACAAATAGCTCTCCAGAAAGGTTGTGCTATTTGCTCTCCATCAGGAAATGAAGGGAGGTTGAAAAAGAAAAAGGGCTCAGAAAAGAGAAGAGGAGGAAGCTTGGTGCTGCCTTGGCTGAGTGTGTGGGGAGTGGAACAGCGTGTGGGAAGGCCGTTGGGCACTTCTAGGGTCAGAGGCAGTGCTGGCCTGGGGTGTGGCAGGGGGACCTGCTGTGTTCAGGCACCCAGACCCACATCCCAGTGGCTCTCTAGAGGGAGCCCCCGAGGGCAGCCAGGCGGGAGGGCTTTCTGTGGAGGAGCCCTGGGACTCCCCGGGGCCAGGGCAGAAGCAGGCCCTGTGTGCATGGCTCCTGGGAGCGTGGGGACGGCTATGCCTTCTTGTTCCAGGGAAGAGTTCTTGCTTTTTTTTTTTTTAATTTTAAAATTTTGTTCAGCTAATTTTTGAACTAGGTAAAAATTTATTATTTACTCTATGTACGTCTATCTATTTATCGTATATCATGGGAACTCTCCCTCTTGCTCTGCACCCACCCAACAATTCATCCACTCGTTTCCTCCCTCGCAAAGGAATCTGGTGCAGTTTCTCTCGGTTGGACCATTCTGGTTTCTTTAGGCACGTACAAGCAGATCTGACTATATGTTTTTTACTTTTTACCCTTTGAACACAAATGGTTGCACTTTATACTCACTGCTCTGCACTTTGCTTTTTAATTTTTCTTTTCCCCCAGTTTTACTGAGCTGTTGACCTACAGCATTGTATACGTTTAAGGTGTTCAGCATAATGACTTGGCTTACGTATATTGTGAAACGATTACCACAATAAGTTTAGTTAACATCCATCATCTCATCTAGATACAAAAAGAAAAAAGAAAAAAATGTGTTTTTCCTTGTGATGAGAACTCTTAGGATCATAACTCCTTTCAAATATACCCCACAGCAGTGTTAACTATGGTCGTCATGCTGTACATTCCATCCCCAGTACTTGGCTTTTTTTTATTAACAATGTAACTTGGAGATTGTTTTGTGTCATGGAGCAGGCCCCCTTCCTTTAAGAGCTGCGTCGTACTCAGTTGTGTGGGTGGACTATAATTTATTTAACCCGCACTCTACGGGCGGACACAGGGGTTGTTCCAGATCCTCGCTCTTTCAAGCCGCATTGCTATGAATCACCTCATCCATGTGTCATTCTGCGCATGTGCAAGCGTTTCTGTAGGACAGGTGTCTAGAGGCAGCAGCAATAGGTCCAAGGAACTTGCGTTGGTAGTTTTGATAGACAGTGGCCCATTGCCCTCCAGAGGGCTCCAGTTATTTTGTTCTCCCAACAGCAAAATGAGCGTGTGGTTTCCCCATAGCCTTGCCAACAGAAGGCTGTCAGATGTCAGAGAGTTTTACAGATCTGATGGGTGAGAGATGGTATCTCAGTTTTATTTGTGTTTCTTTCATTATGAGACAGGTTGAGCCTCTTTTTACGTGCTTTACAACCCTTGGTATATGCACTCCTGAGAACTGCCTGTTCCACTCTGCCCATTGTTCCATGGAATTGCCAGTCTCTTCCTTCCTTGCTCCTTTCTTTGAGAGCAGGACGGCCAAATCCTGGCACCCATCGCTGCCCCCAGCCCTCTTTTCACAGGGAGGAGGGGGAGGTGGGGCTGGGGGCTGGCACTGGGTGGACCAGGGATAGAGACAAAGTCCTGGGCCCCAGGGAGGCCACACCCTCATTTGGTGGAGGAATCGAAGCCCCTGATCTATGTCAGATGCTCATGAAATGAGATAATGCACATAAAATGTTTGGAACAACGAAGGGCCCATAGTAAATGCTCTGAAAAAGGCTGCTCATTATTTTTATGTGTAAGCCACACAAACATACCAGGATCTATGTGTCTGCAATGGAGTCTTTAGCTGCTGTCCCCGTGTGGTACAGGATGCCCTGGGCAGGCTAAGGGGCCTGGCACCTCCTGGGGACTCCAAGGGCAGAGCAGAGTACATGAGCTGCTGGCTTGGATCTGGTTTCCACCTCTGCTAGGTTTCTCGTTTGTGGAAAACCCGGTCTTAAGAGCAGGGCTGACGTGAGGTAAAATGTGGCTTATGGGGTTTGCATCTTCACTGAATTTCCTCTCACTCTCAGATGCTGGGGCACGACCCCCAGCCCTGGCCCTCCAGCTCCCTCTTCCCTTCTCCTCTCCTATCTCTAATCCCCTAGGGGTCACAGTCTTCCAAAGGTGCCAGTGATCTGGGCTGGTGGGCAGAGAGGAGAGCCTCAGGCTGTCGGGGTCCTGGGAAAGCCAGTCTGGACTCAGCCCCACATTCAGTGTCATGGCCATAATGGGAGGTGGAGGAGGGGGAGTTCTAGACAGAGGTAGGAGCTAAGGGAAGATGGGCTGTGGCATTCAGGCAGTCTGTCCCTCCCCCTACCATGCCCATCCTTAGCTCTGCGTCTGACCTACCACTTGTCTCTGTGAAGATCCTGTGTCTGAGCCCACAAGCCCAAAGGCCCCCAGGGTCTTCTGCCCAGCCCAAACGGTGGCTAGCACACCAGAGAATGGCTGCCAACTGGTGTGAGAGTCCCTGAGGGAGCCCAGCATCCCAGGGGAGCTCCATCCGCCTGTCCTCTGTGTCTTCTAGCTCTGCAGCAAGATCCTGGAGAAGATGGCCAACCCTCAGTGGAACCAGAGCATCACGCTGCCTGTCATGGTGAGCCTGGCCCCCCGCAGGCCCACTCAGGAGACCCAGGGCTCCAGCCTCCCCAGCATCCCGCCTGCATCCTGGACTTCTGCTTCTTCAAAAGGAGCCCACCCCAACATGTCTCTCTTCCCTCCATAGTTTCCCTCCATGTCTGAAAAAATGAGGATTCGTGTCATAGACTGGTGAGTCCTGAGTGTCCGAGTCTTTAGAGGTGGCTGTCCTCAGAGGTCACTGGGTCTTTCCGTCTCCTTCTGTTCAGTCTGCATGCAGTGGGAGAGTCTGTTTCAGGCGAGGGAGTCTCCTCTGGGGGAAGCCAGAGAGGGAGAGGGCGAGAGCCATTCTCCGGAAGCTTCCTCATAGCACATCTCCAAGGTAGATAAAGTGGGGCTGGAAGGGCTCCAAAAGCCCCCAGATTGCCTAGGGCAGGAGGTACCAGGAAGGCTGGCTGGAGGAGATGGGGTTTTTGATGAGTCTGGGGTGAGGGCATTCCATTGAGGAGAGGATCATTAGCAAAGGCGAGGAGGCTGGAAAGAGCCGAGCTTCTGGGAGGGTGGGCCATGATGCCCCATGGGTTGGTGGGCTGGCCTGGAAGGGTCCCCAGGCTGGGGAGGTGGGCCATGTTGCCCAAGCAGGGGTTGCCACTGCAGGCTTGCAACAGGTGAGGGCAGTAGCCACATGGACATCTGAAAAAAATAATAGTGTCTAACACTTGTTGAGCCCCTACCGTGCGCCAGACCCTGTGCCCAGCAAGCACTTTCCGTGTGTGATCTCACCTGACCCTCAGCTCAGCTCCCAGCACAGTCCCGCTTTACAGAGGAGGGAGTAGGTTTGCAAAGGGTGAGCGACCTGCTGGAGGGGACAGCTGGGAAGTGGCCGAGGCCACACTCGACCCCAAACCTGCTGCTCCCACAGCCCATGTTCTTAACCACTGGGCAGTGCTGCCTCCTGCTATGTTGTGGGTCTCTCTCACACCTGAGGGGCTGTTAGGGGTCCACACACAGATTCTCCAGGACCTTCCATTCTCCGGGCTTTCCAGAAGGAGAGAGCTGTCCTTTCTCTGCCCCCAAAAGTCTTGGCCGTGCGGTTCCCAGCGTGTTGTCCTTTGGTCTCAGGCCCATGACACCCCCAGCCAGGAGGATAATGAGAGACCAGGGAAAACCCCCAGGCCACAGAGCCATTAAAGTGTGCGCCAGTTCCCCAGGCCTAAAGAAAACAGCTTTGGAGAATTAGAGGAGAGGAAGGGAGCAAGGAGGGCCAGGAAGGCGAGGCCTCCGGGGCCTACCGCTGGTATGTTCCGTGGGGAAGCGGTTTGGGGGAGGGACGTGTTTTACATCACAGACGGTCTCTTCCCCTCAGCTCGTGGTGTGTGCGCGCACGTGTGTGCCTTGTGTTGACTGCGGGTGGTTGGCTGTGCGTGTCTATGTGTGTCTGTGCGTGTGCGTGTGTGCACACGGGTGCGGTTGTCCTGTCCCATGTGGTGTGGACAGGCCTTGCCCGAGTCCGTGTGAGCTGTGTCAAGGCATCGGCATACTGTACAATCCAAACACATTACGGAATCTGGTGGTTGCATCTCTGGTTTGGGTTGAAGTGGCATTTTTATTGTGAGTCTATTTTCAGACTTGCTGTATTTTCCAAAAGCAACCCCAAGCCCCAGAACCCAGCTCTTGGCCAGAAAGCATTCTGCTGCTGCAAGTTCCTATCCAGAAAAGAGCTTTCTTCCCAGAAAACTCAGATAAACTTTCCTTATTACCTGAATCCTGGAAATATGATAGAGTCCATATGGACTCTGCTCCGTAACTTAATCTTCTGTTCCATTCTTAAGAAATTTCTTTTTCATTACAAAACAAAACCCCAAAATCTAGCCTCTAAAAACAAACCCTCTCTCCTTCCATTCTCTTTCCTTCCTTGCTGGATTCAGGTAACACCAGAGGTCAGGAATCCCATTCCTTTCCCAGTGCAGGGCTTGGTTGGGAAGACACTTTAAAGATGCTACCAGCTGTTAGTTATCTGGTGTTGATAATCTCATTGTAACATGTTCAAGGAAATTTTTACTTTCCGGTTCTTATTAACATCATTCACCAGGAAAAATGATAAAGATCCATGCTGACAATTCACTGTTCCCAACGTAGCCCCACCAGATGGAAAACTCGAAAATGGAAGCTTAATTACCTTCTTGGGAAATACAGAGAGGAAGGAAGGCAGCTGCTGAGATAGGGTACTTCATGGGTGTAGGATTTAAAAGAATAAGGAAATCATCGTGCCCAGGTGTGTCTTTCACAGCGGGCTCTGGTGTATCATCCCAGCTCTCCCTGGGTCTGGGGGTTTGGCTGCCTGAGCAGCCTCCTGCTCCCCACCCTGCTTCCTCCCTCTCATCCTGCAGCTGTCCTCGCAGACATGCAGCCTGGCAGCCCAGTGTTGGCTGGTTGATGGGATGCTGATGGTTGATAAGATGGACTAGTCTCCTCTTTGGAGGAGTCTTGAGTGACACTTTCTTTCCAGTTTATTCTTCCCTAGGATTACCAGGCCTCTGTAATATTCCCAGTGTGAAAACTGGGACCCCTAATGATGTATAACCAAGGCCTTTCCCTTCCTGGGTGGGCTGTGGCCTGCCATCTCCCTCCCCTGTTCAAGCCCTCTCTGCCCCCTTGCTCTAGGGACCGCCTCACCCACAATGACATCGTGGCCACCACCTACCTGAATATGTCGAAAATCTCTGCCCCTGGAGGAGAAATAGCAGGTAAGTTCCCCTGTGGGGAACCTCTGTTCTGCCCTCTGGTCCCCCATGCTTCCCGCTGTCCCACCCCTGCCCGTCTTATACCTCTACTTTTCAGAGTTTGCAGAATAGGGAAGATTATAAGGTCTTTGCTGCCCAGTTCCCAGGGAGAAGGGCTCTGGCCAACGAGAGAGGTGGGCTTGTGGACATTTAGGGTTCTCCACAGCTTGGATGGTGGGATCCACCACCGAATGGTAGAGAGGGGGTAATTCACTCCTGCAGAGGATGCTGACGGCTGCGGCCACGCCCTCTACCGGCTTCTATGCTCTAGCAGTTTCTACTTTGAGATAGCTTTCCTTGGTCTGTTGAAAAATAGCCTATGATCATTTTGTAAAATTTTAGAGAGTTAATCTAAAAGAAGAATATAAAATTTATCCATGAAATTACCCATAAACCTACCCTTCCCAGACGAGAACTAACTATTAACATTCTGGAACCTTTCTGTATGTATGTATATATACGCATACACATGAAAAACATTGTTTTGAAACAATTTTCAATTGTTTTGAAAACTGCTTCTTGTCACTTGGCAATACAACATATAATCACGTTATTAAATATTCTTCTGCAGTATAATTTTAAATGAATACCCATATTCCATTGTGTGAATGTACCATAATCCACATTAACTAATGTTGAATATTTAAGTGTTTTCTAATTTTTCCACATTATAAACAGCTAACTTTATATGGACTATTTTTGTAGCTGAATCTTTATGCAATTCATGATTTTCCTTTCGGATGAATATCTCCAAGTGGAATTGCTGTGTCAAAGGATTTGATCATTTTAAAGCTTTTGGGATATATCAAAATTGTTCTTCAAAAAGATTGACTAATTTACACTCTAATCACTCACATAAGCTTCTTTTGCTGCATCCTCACCAACACAGGGTAAAATAATAATATTAAAAAAGAACTTTGTTAATTTGATGGGTGAATTTCATTGTTTCCTTAATTTTCATTTCATTGATAGCTGATGAAGTTAACCAATGTGAATTTTAAAATATTTTAATAATTATTGTATATTTACAAATTTTATATATATATATATACTTTATATTTACTCTGTTCTAAACTGCCTGTTCATATTCTTGTCCACATTTCTGATGGTATGTTTGTCTTTTTCTCTGTGTTTTGTAAGAATTCTGTATGTTTATGGATGTGAACTTTCCCTCTGTCATATGTGTGGTAAATAATTTTTGTCAGTCTAATCATTTAATAGTTTTTGATGAAGAGAAATTTAAAATTTTTATGTAGCCAAACCTGTTAATCTTTTCCTTAGTGAATAAGGCAAGGATCTAACATTACTTTTTTCAAAATTGTTCTTTAGTGATGCCAACACCATATGTTGAATATTCTTTTGCCTATATTTTGGAATGCCACCTTTATCCCCTACTAAATTCCTAAATGTGTTCTTGGGCTAGTTTCTTGATTTCCTATTAGCTTTAATTGGTATGTCTGCTTATTATTTCTGAGGTTTTGGTATCTGGGTTATGCTGGCTCTGTAAAATTAATTGGAAAGACTTAAAGACTTTCCTAACATCTGGAGAAGTTTATATAACATAAGAATATAGTCTTTTGAGGGTTTGAAAGAATTCACCCATAAAACCATATGGGCTGGGTGCCCTTTTTGAGTGGGTGTTGTACTAACTCTTTAAAATCTTTTCAGTTTCTCCTGTGATCATTGTTATTTTTAGTTTGTTACTTTTACTATAGTCAATTTTGATAATTTATATTTTTCTAGAAAAGCATTTATTATATTGAGGTCTTCTAATTTATTTACATAGCGTTGCACATAGCAATCTTTTAAATTTAAATAATTCTATCTATCTATAGTGTTTTTCCCTTTCTTATTTCTAATGATATGTGCTTGAGTTTTCTTGCTTCTACTCTGATTAGCCTTGTTAGATATTTTTTTTTCTTTTTTCTTCCTTTATTAGACTTTTCAGAGAATCAGCTTTTGGATTTATTTATCAATTCTAACATTTTCTTTTTTTCCTAATTTTTTATTCTCTCATCTTTTTACTCTTTTTTAAAACTCTCTTTAGACTTATTTTGTAATTTCCTTTTTTAACTTTCTAATTAACTTCTGGTTTTTATTTTCAAAATTTCTAATTTAAATCCTGAAAGTATGGTTTCTGCCCTGTATGCCATGCTTTTGGCCTTCAACAAACCCCAAGCTTATATTTAACTCTTTTTTAAATTTTTTACATTTAAATTCTTAGTCTATTTTGAATTTATTTTGGTGTTCTTTCTGACAGCAGTCTGACTTGATTCCTTTGTTGGGAGTCTATTTTTTTCTGACTAGATGCTGCTTGTAGGAATGTATCTTTTTTCTCGTTGTTTAAAAAATTACTTTGATCTCTCTAGTGCAGGAATCTTTTCACTGAACTTTGTCTGAGACATGGCGAATTTTTAAACCCGATCAGAGGAGTAATTTCTTTTATTCTAACGTGGTAACATGGACAGCTGAAGGCAGGATGGGGCAGGGGTCAGAGCTGAAGCTCTGGGTTCCAATTCTGCTTTTTGGTGGCTAGTGAATTGCTCCAGTCCCGACCTTGTAAGGTTGTTGTAAGGACTCAGTGAGATTATAAATGTAAAGTTCTTAGAGTGTCTGGTACACAATAAACCCAAAAGTAACGTTTGCTGTTTGGTATCATTATTATTGGCTTACTGCATCACCAACCTGATTTTCTTTTCCCTGTACCAATGCTGCTTTTTGCTGTTTCTCATGTGGTTTAAAATTGGCTATTGCATTTTTAGTTTCTTGCCATGCCTTCTTTTCCCTCTGTCACTCCTTTTATATTTTCCTTTTCCTCTTTGTTCTCTCCCAGAAGTTTTGCTTTGTTCCATAAAAGCTATGTCTTCCTGCTCTCTATTGAGGATTCCAAATCATTTCCTAAGAATTTCAGGTGACTGTTTCACTAGCCTGGCTGGCACTCTGTTCTTCCTCCTGCCTCCTTTATTCACCCTCTAACAAGACTTGTTCAGTGATGGTGTCTTTCTACAGGCAGTGTGCATGGGTCTCTGTCTATCCATCTTCTCAGATCTTTACCTGGAGGTCAGGTTAAGGAGTCCAGTTTCTGGAAGACTCCACCTGCTGCTCTTGAAGTTGGCCCATCCCTTCTTCTAGGTTCTCTGAAACATTTTTTTTTTTTTAAAAAAACCCTTCTAATTATAGAAAACTCAAACACACATGAAAGTAAAGAATTTTTCAATGAGCTCCCAGGTGCCCTCACTCAGCTTTGACATCTAGCTGCTCTGCTCTCTGCCATTCTGATTTCATCGTTGATACTTGTAATTGGTGGAATACTCAGACTGTCTTCCAGAAAACACTGCTGTCAGGGCTCCTCCTGCCCCAGCCCCCTCCCCCTCCCCACAGTGGGAACTGCTGTCCCAGGATGTGGTCCCCCTTCTCTAATGCTGTTCAGATAATTTCTGAGAACGACTGCCTTGGATGTATAGGTAGAAAGATTTGAGCTGGGGGGGAATGCATCATAAGGGTGGAGTGGGAGGGCGGGTATTCTGACTCCCCCTGAAGATCGGAACTCCTGGGATGGAAGGAATCTCTTCTCTAGTTTTCTAACAGGGTGCTTGTCCCCATCTCTGAATCCAGGGACAGACCCTGCTAGAGGCACAAAGTGTCTTCTAACAGCTGCTGTTTCATGAGGCTACGGCTGTGCCTGCCAGCAGCCACCTGAGGCAGAGTTTTGATCCTTGGGCCTCCATCAATCTTCATTTCTGGTGTTGGCCTTGATCTTTTTCAGGGTCACGATGAATATTTTAATGTGAATGTGAGAAAGGTGTTTATTTGGCCACTAGATGGCGCTCAGGTCATGGGCAATCCCGTATGGTTCCGGGAGGCGCTCAAAGGCAGGACCGCTGTCTCCCACACATTGTTTTGGAAATAAATGAGAATCTTCTTGCAACCAGCTAACCACTTTTAAACGTGCTGTTAAAAAGCTTGATCTCTGCAGCAATAAAAGAGTTAAACTTATTGCTCAAACTGGAACCGTTCTTCATGACAGCTGTGATGTCCCTTCCCTCACAGGTGTGTCCCTTTTGGAAGCCTTGAAGGTCAGCCCCAGCCTCGCTCCCTGCCAGGCTTCTCCCACTTGTCCTGAGGCCACCTCAGAACACATCACTCCAACTTTCCTTTCAGCTCTTTGTATTTTTTTTCTTCACACTGGGGGGTTCTTGCACATCTGGGCAATGCATGACATTTCCTCACTGCTCTCAAACCCATACTAAACCGAGCTGTAAAAACGAGTTCTTTCTCCATATTCCCATCATGGTTCACCAGATTATTTGGTCCAAGCAGGAGTTTTTGTGTTTGTGTTTGTGTTTTTATTTCCAGTGAGGACAGAACCTAACACTCGCCTCTTAAGCGCTCCTGCCCACAAGTTTGCCTGGGCACAGTTGAGTATTCCTTGGAGCCTATGCTCCAAAGCATTTACTGAAGATTTGGTTTTTTTTACAAAGGAGTGCTTTCCTTAGAAGCTGCAGCTCTTTCGAAAGGTAACGGGCCTGCGGGACCCATGAAACCTACACCGATTCTTTCATAACTTTATACGTATGAAAATCACGCCACATAAATAGCGCTCGTAGCCTACAGTTTTTTCCACCGCCGAGAAATCCAAGGTTAGTTTCTTTTTGTCTTTGGAACGTAGATGATGATGATTTCCCAGCAGTTCTCAGTTCTCCTCCTGCCTGGCGCGGGCTGGTGTCAGGCAGCCAAACCGTGGGCGTGGGAGATGTGCCGAGCGGCAGAGGCCGCGGCCGCCGGCCGCAGGTGATGGCCTCAGCTTCCCCAGGAGACCCAGGCCGTCTGCGGGGCCATGATGTGCGCCTCATGGGCTGGGAGGGCTGGCTCTTTTCTGGCTTCCCCCAGGTAAGGGAGGTGGGCTTGGCTGTTCAGGCCACAAAACTGGGAGTATTCATCCGTGTTTTGGGGCATCCACAGCCCTGGTTCCCTGGGCTTAGGGAAAACACACCAAAACCCTTGTGTTTTGGCAGAAGGGTGATGAGGACTAAATAGAGGCTTTGTCTTGGGTGGCTTCACTGGTTACTCTGCCGCTGACTTTATGAGCTGTCTGCAGACACAGTGGAGAGGACCTGGGCTGATCCTCAGCACCCAGGGACCTGTGACCCTGACCCCACATTAGGACTCACTGGCCTGAGTTGTCAGCAGTCCCACGTCTTGTTAGGAGCCCAGCACTGTGCCGTGTTAGGTTTACTGAACAAATGACTGAATGAATGGATGAAGGAATTAATGAAAGGTGCCACTGGGAAGTAGGCTACTCTGCAGCCACCCACTTGGTCCTCCCAGCCACCAGAGGCACGTGTTGGTCAGAGGCTGGTGGGATTTGGAGGACATCTGTGTCTGGCCTGGCATGGGTTTACAGCCAGGATTCAGAGTTGGTCTGTGGGTGGGAAGCCAAACCTGCCTCTGCAAGAAGCACATGGGGGTTGGATCTATGACCCTGGCCTCATTAGCTCGAGATAACTGGCCGGGCCTGTTTGTAATCATTTGGAAGGAGCTTAAAATGGAATCTGTTTCCTTCCGGTGGGCCCTGGCTGCTGCTCTCCTCGGGCTGCAGCTGTGCCCATGTCGGCACTCTCACGGTCGCTGAGCTCTCCTATGACCAGAGGCCTGGCTCCCCCACTGATGAAAACCTATTCCTGTGGATATGAAAATGGCCATGAATTATGGTTTCTGCAGCTCTGACTTCTGCCAGCCAGCATTCCTAGCTGAGGCCGGGCTGTGGAGAGCTGAGGGGCCGGGTCTCTGGGCCTCAGGCCCCCCTGGAGCTGGGCCTCGCCATCCTTGCTGCCTTCTGCGCTCACTTGGCGAGCTCTATCTTCACATCCAGACCTCTCTACATTCCCCTCTCCTCTCTTCTTCACTCTTTTTTCCTCTCTGTGTCTCTGCTTATTCTTCCTTCATAGTGTTTTGCACAACTCTTGGCCCTTAACTACAATCACGGAGCTACAGGAAAATAGTAATAGGTATTTTTTTGGAGGAGACCAATAGGTAAAGATGAACAATGAATGAAATTAATCAGGGATTTTACCAACTTGGTTACACTTAGCTGGTTGGAGGAGGAGACGGGGAAGGTCAGAGTGCAGGAAGAGGCAGAAATCAGAGAGACAGTGGAAGGAGACTGAGGGGTGCTCACTCCTCTGGGGGTGTCTTGTTCCTGCCTAGAAGTGAGGGAAGGATTCTAAGAGCCTGGGAGTGTGCCCAAGCATCTCCTTCCTTGCTTCTCTCATTTCTGGACACCTCTTACCAGCATCTAGGGCACACTCAAGTGTGTAGAACCTTTCGCTAAGGGTCAGTGTCTGGCACTGTGCCTCACTTGGAGCAGCAGGTGCCAGGAGCCAGGTCTCAGTGCCTGCTGTTGTGAAAATGCAACGCGGTGCCCTCAGTGGCAGTACTGTAAATGACCACTAGATGGAGATGTTGTGCCTTGAAATGCCACCTCTCAGAGAGAAGGGTCCCCACTGTCAAACTGTCTGTTGGGTGGAGTGCTGGCTGTGCCTTGCTGCCGGCTCTGGCCCTTTCGTGTCTCCCCCATTGTTTCTTGGTGTCTGTCCTTTGTGTCCCTCACTTATCTGGCGACAGTATGGAAAAGCACATTTTCTTTTCTGTGTTATTTCTTGAGTGTATCTAGTCAGATTTTGGATCCAATTTTCAACTGGCAAACAACACGCAGACTTGTAGGCAGACACCAGTGGGGAGGGACCTGAGGCCCACCATGGCGCTGGGGGCTGCGTCTGGCTGGGGAGGGTGCGGCGAGGACTTAGTTTGTGATAAATTCACAGCTGGGCTGGGCGTGGGGTCTCCGCTCGCATCTGTTTCCCGCATGGGAGCTGTCTTTCCATCTGTCTGTCTGTCAACTCTCCGTCCTTAGGCCTTTTCATGTAACCCGTCCTTCTCCCAGCCATGCCCATCCTAACCCCTTTTCCATTTCTTTACGCTTCAGAGGAGCCTGCAGGTGTGGTCAAGCCTCCTCCAGCCACGGACCGTATGTGCTTTCACCTTGGGGACAATGGTGGGGGTGGGGGGGTGCTTGGGGTTTTTGCTGGATGGGAGAGTAGCTGGTTGCGGGGAGGTTTTTGATTTGCCTGTAGGGGGACTGAGATTCCCCACCATGGACCCTGAGCCTACCTTTGGCTGCTACCTCTCCACCGTGGTTAAATATGTAAATCGCCTGGAATGCTTTAAAGGCAATTTCCTCCCACACCCCACACCGCTTCCTCCTTCTGCTGAGCGCATCTGATGCTCAAATGAGTCCACTCTCTCCAGCAGGGAGGAGGAGGGGGCGGGTGTCGGGGTCCACGATGGGGCAGGGACAGTGTGAGGCGTCTTGGGGACCGGAAGGAAGCTAGGGTGAGTTGAAAACTCTTGAAGTTGAAATTCACAGGATAGATCATAATCAGGATGAGCAGTACAGATAATGAGTAATGCTCATGTCAGTTCCATCAGCCTGGGCCTCCCAACTCTGTCCCAGACGCCAGAGCCCTGTCTGTGCTGGGGACTGGAGGGAGAGTGGCGATGGACGCAGGGTGGCCCCTGGCTCTGGGGCGGCACGCTCCTGCTGTCTGGTTGGCAATGTCTGATTTCTCAGGGAGGGGCTCAAGCTGTGAGACCCCAGGTCTCAACCCTCGGGGTTCAGTCATGTCCTGAGGTCTGGCTCAAGCATGTCCTTGTGGAGGCCATTTATTTTGTGCCTGCCTTGTCCCACGCTTGCTCGTATGGGTTGGATCATCCCAGATGGCTCCTTCTCCTGGGCCCACTTCCCACCTTTGGCATTCTGGAAACTGCCTCTTCCTTCTCCCTCTGAAAGGGACACCTGGCTTTTCAGGGTTCTCAGAGTATGGCCAGTGAAGTCCCGTCTTGGGAAACTTGGCTGTCAGCTGGAGGATCATGATATTAACAAAAAGAGGGTCTCCAAAAAGGATGGGAATGATGTGGAGACAAGATTTTCCCTCATCATGAGTGTAATTCTCATTCAAACCCTCCTCTGACTTCCCCCCTGAAAGACTGTTCTTTGTATACAAGGTGGGGGGCGAGGGGCTGGGAATGCCAGGATGAGTCAAGGCTTTTGGGTGGTCTGTCTCAACTTCATAAGGATATGGAGATGGAGGGGATGTGTGCCTGGGGGCTGCCCTGTGGGTGGGGGCACATCTAGCTGGGCCTCTTCCTGGTGCCGTGGGAGATGGCTTCTCTTGTCACCAGGCTTTGGGGCCTCCTTTGTGCCTCCTCATAGGCTGGATGGCCTGAGACACCGATGGAAGTGCAGGATGGAGAGGGGAGGCAGGACGGGGTGCGGCCTGAGAGGGGCGTGGCAGTGGGGGGTCTGAGCCCCAGCTTTGTGTGCTGGCTGAGTGCATGGGCTGAATGCATTTGCCCATTTTGGGTCATGCCACTCTGTAGTCATGTGTTCCTTTGCATCTCTGAGCCTCAGTTTCCTCATCTGTAAAATGGGACTAATACACATCTCTGTGTCTCAGCATGGTGGTGAGGATTAAAGGGCTTTATGGGAGACAATGGGAACTCTCATCAGTGTCACCATTCTTTACACATTTATGGGGCTGCATCCCACACCTTGCGAAGAATTGAGGGCCAGGGATGGGCTCAGGCCTGAAAGTGGCTGGGCTGAGCACTGGAAAGCTATGCTGGGCCAGCCCCTCTGATCCCCACCTATGTCTCCCAGTGGACGACCACCTGGGCTTCCTCCCCACCTTCGGGCCCTGCTATGTCAACCTCTACGGCAGCCCCAGGGAGTTCACTGGCTTCCCAGACCCCTATGCAGAGCTCAACACGGGCAAGGTGAGCCAGCCAGAGCCCCCCAGACCCCTAGGCTTGCATGTAGGGGTCATCCAGCCTGGCCTGAGCAGTATCTGGGGCTGGCCTGGGCTCTAAGGGTCTGATGGGGCTTTCCTGGGCCCAGAGCCAGGCAGCCACTGCCTCAGAGAACTCTCCCTTCACCTGGCCCCCTCCTGGCCCCGTCTTCCCTCTCACTCTCCTCCCTTTTGCCTCTCCTTCTGGGTCAGCCTGATCCCCCAGTTTTCCTGGCCCCTGAGGGACCCAGGTCCCATCCATCTCAGGTTTCCTCTCTCCTCTGGCTGGGTTGGAGTCTGGTACTGACCTGGCTTGGCATGTCCCCTGAACTCTCTGGGTCACCATTTCCTCATCTGCAGAGTGATGCGGGTGGTTCAGGGCCATCCTGGTTGCCTGGGAGGCGAATGACCTCAGGGCCAGATCAGGCCCCTTTCCTTCCCCTCCATCTCCCATGCTCCTAGTGACCCAACCTCCCCACTCAGGGAGAAGGCGTGGCCTACCGAGGCCGGCTTCTGGTCTCCCTGGAGACCAAACTGGTGGAGCAAGGCGAGCAGAAGGTGGAGGATCTCGCTGCAGATGACATCCTTCGGGTGGAGGTGAGGGGCACAGCTCTGGGAGACGTGGGGAGGGTGGTGGCCAAGGGGGTCTGGCTTTGACATGTCATGGTGGAGGAGGGCTCCACTCTGCGCACACTCATGTGCCCGCACCACTCTGGGCCTCAGCCCCTCAGCCGTGATGTGGGAGTAACCTGACACCTAAGGGACATTCAGAGGCTCAAAAAAGATAAATGAAAGTATTTAAAAAGTCTAGAGCTTGATGCAAGATGAGAGGCTATTTTATAACAATAGTGTAAGAATAGCTGATGCTTATTATCCACTCAGAATGTACCAGACACTGTGCTTGTGACACGGTTGATGTCGCTGAGTCCTCTAAGCACCAGTGAGGTGGCTGCTCTTAGGATCTCCACTTGACGGATGAGGACACTGAGGCTCAAATGCATCAGAGCAGCAAGTGGTGGTGCTGGGCCTCGTGCCCAGGAGGCAGCTGTGTGGAGTCTGCATGGTGCTTTAAGCTCTCAGACTCTGTAGTCAGACGATGCTGGTTTGAGTCCTGGCTTGACCGCTTACCAGCTGTATGAGGTTCCCTATCAACCCTATGTGGGGTGATAATTATACTTACCTCAACATTGTTGTGCATACCCATATGCAGTAAGCACTCAATAAGTGTCAGCTGTTACAATTTACATTATCCAAAAACCCAGTTGTATAATCCCTCTTCTCTCTGCCTTCCACGAGTGGGATCCCAAAGGCATCTTGGTTCAAACAGGGACATGTGACTGAGTGCCTCCCACGTCCTCAGCTCTGTGCCTGACACCCGGAGGGGACAATGGGATTCATTCATTCCAAGCACATGGCAGCCTGTGTGGTCTGCAGAGCTGGCTGATGTGGTGGAGGCCCTGGGCAGCGTGAGGTGGGAGCTCTGGGCAGGGGCATGGTGGTGTGGAGGTCAGTCGGCAGATGCAGGAGACCAGGCTCCCCTGGGTGGCAGTGCCATTGCTGCTGGTTGGATTAAGGGGCAGCATGACCTTGGAGGAGCAGATCTTATTAGAGGAGCATGGCCAGATGCACAGGACTGGAATGAATCTACTCAGTTAGTAACCAAATCTGGGTGTCGTTGCTTAGCTGGACCATTCACCACCCATCCATCCAGGCAGGATTTATTGGGTTCCAGGGCTGGCCAGACATGTGACCCCTCCCCACCCCGGCATCTTCCTTCCTCCATCCTCTCTGCTCCCAGAAGTACCTCCGGAGGCGCAAGTACTCCCTCTTTGCTGCCTTCTACTCGGCCTGCATGCTGCAGGATGTCGACGATGCCATCCAGTTCGAGGTCAGCATCGGAAACTACGGGAACAAGTTTGACACGACCTGCCTGCCGCTGGCCTCCACCACCCAGTACAGCCGGGCGGTCTTTGACGGTGAGGCCACGTGCCTGGCTGGGACCCAGAGCACAGAACAGAGGCTGGGCCCTAAATCCTGCCTCCTGTGGAAAGCTACTGGAGGCCCATTCGAAGGCCCTGGCCCTGGCCAGGCTGTTCAGGGGAACCCCTGCTCTCCCCCTGTGCCGCCTCCCTGTGCTCACCTCCAGGTGGGTCCCTGCTGCCAAGACCCAGCGGTTGGGCTCCTGACACCGGCTGTGGTCGGCATTGACCCTGACCTCTGGCGATCATTTATTCCATGGTGGCTGTTGGGCTTGGTATATAGATTTTGGAGAGTATAGGTTTCCTTCTAACAACCCCTCTGTTTTGATGTGCTAAGGAGCCCTAATGAGAGCAGAAGCTGTCTGTTCAGGCACCTTGTTTGGACCCTGGGGAATATTGGTCACGTCCTGTGTGTCCAGGGGAGTTCTTATTGGGCAGGGGGAACAGGTGCCTGAGTGCGTCCTACCCTCGCTCCCCTTCCCATCCACCCCTCCACTCCCGGCTCAGTCCTAGGCCCTTCGTGTCCTTCCAGGGTGCCACTACTACTACTTACCCTGGGGCAACGTGAAGCCTGTGGTGGTGCTGTCATCCTACTGGGAAGACATCAGCCACAGAGTCGACACTCAGAACCAGCTGCTCCGGATCGCCGACCGGCTGGTGAGTGAAAGCTGCTCCACACCTGTGCACACCTTGTGCAGGCACCCCCTGTGGGTGTCTTCAGACCGGCCCCCCATGGATGCACATACTTACACATAGCTAGGCCCGCAGACTTTCATGGCCCCTGGGGTCCGTTGTGTCCTGACAGTGCCAGGTTTGCAATCCTGCCCTGCATCCTGGGAAGAGAGGAGAGGGAGTGAGAACAAGCCTGGGGGAGCCCCCAGGCTGATGGAGGAGCCGGCACAGAGAAAGAGCGGAGAGAAACTGAGCTAGGGGCAGCAGGCAGAGGCTTGCATCCATTCATTCATTTGTCAAATGCCTTTGACTCTTACCTCACACAAAGACTTGTGCTGGAAACTTCTAGCTAGAAGATAGACATGAACCGGGACCTGCTCTGCCTCCAGGGAGTCAGTTTAGTAAAGAAGAGCACAGGTTCATCCCCACCTCTCGTCCAGAGGTTCCAAACTGAAGTTCAGGTGGCACCCCAGGAATACCAAGGGAAGATGGGGGCTTGGAGGAGGGAGAGGGCCAAGGAGCCTCAGGGGGGCAGCGCAGAGGCCTCAAGGGGGACGGGGGGGCGGGAGCCCAGGTAGGACGCATTGCAGTGGTCCAGGGGAGAGTGACGAGGCGCTACTGGGAAGGAGATGACCTTGGAGAGAAACTTGCACGATTTGGGCTGGAAGGACTTGGTGGTCTCTTGGCTCAGGGGAAGAGGCAGGGCTGTGAGGAGCGACCCCAGTGGCTGGGGATTGGGAGATTGGGGAGAAGAGCAGATTGTACCATACCGTGAGTTCTGCTTTGGACGTGACCAGGGGGGTTACCTGCGGATGCTGGGAGCTGCAGGCCTGGCACTTGGCCAGAGAGTGGAAGAAAATCAAAGTGGGCAGAGGTGTAGGCCAAGGGCAGGAAGCTGATAATCTTGGCTGTGGCCCCAGGCCGCTTCTGTGTGTGCATGGGGTGGAGGCTCACCCGCGAAGCACGTGGCCTGTGGGAACATAGAGGAGGCAGGTGCTGCCACGCTGCTGGAGCAAGCCAGGAGCGGCAGGGTAGAGGGAAGGGGGTTGGAGGGGCCTGGGTGTGTCTGTGGAGGTGAGCGCAGTGCGGAGGCCAGGGGGAAGGGGAAAGGGAGGATTGGGATCTTGGGGTGGCTAGAGGGGATGCAGGCCCAGGTGGGGGCCGCAGTAGCCCACGCTCTCCCTAAGACTAGCAATCTTCATGGAGGAAAGCTTGGAGCTGATGCTGTGCAAGTCCAGACTTCATCTTCTGGGCCAACCATTCTCCCTGAGTTGGGGGGCTGTGTCTACTTTCCAGGGCCTGTTCCCAGATTAGTGGTCCCAGGGTGGACACGCCCAGAAAGCTGGTGGTGAGGAGGGGCGTGGGGGACTGGGGGACGATCCCTGGTCTGACGGGTGTCCAGTGAGGTGTCTCCACCTCTCAGCTCAGGCTGAGGCCCATGGAGATGGCTGGAGAATCGCTCCATGGAGGACACCAGATGCAACCCCAGGAGTGACCCGGCTATGGGAGTTTGGAGAGGGAACTCCCTGTTATTGGAGGTTGTCCGGGTGCTCCCGAAGGAGGGACGACGGGATCCGAGCCTGGTTGGGTGGCAGGATTTGTAAAGGGCAGAGCATTCCAGGTGGGGAAATAGAGGCGGCTCAGAGGTCACTTACCTGTGAGACGTCAGCCCTGGCTGGAAGGGGGCCCGCAAGGAGCAGGATGCCACTGGTTCTGTCGGAGCCTGAACTCCTCCTGACCAGGCCTGAGGCTGGAGTCCCAGGCTTGGGACTCTGGATCTGCTTGGTGTGGGGAGCCCGGGAAGGTGCTCGAGCCAGGACAGACCCTGGTTTGTCAGGTCTGGGCTCTGCCTTCTCTGCTCTAACTGGCTTCTCCTTTCTGGTTCAGGGACCGAGCTGTGGAGATGGGGCCTGCGGGCTGGGGGTCTGATGTGTACCTTCCACCCCGCGGTGACGGTCCTGGCCTTTGCCTGCCTGTCCCACAGGAAGCCGGCCTGGAGCAGGTCCACCTGGCCCTGAAGGCGCGGTGCTCCACCGAGGATGTGGACTCCCTGGTGGCTCAGCTGATGGATGAGCTCATTGCAGACTGCAGGTAGGGGGTGCCCGGTACCCACGTGCCCTCCCCTCCGGGCTCAACTGCGCCCTGTCCCTGGGAGTGTTCGTGTGTGGCGCTGAGCGACGGCACGTCTTCCCAGCCACGCCTGGCCAGCAGTCCAGCCCGTGCTGAGTCCAAAGGTGGTGGAGCCAGCGCGGGGAGTTGAAAAGGTGACATTTAGAGCAGGTCATAAATCTCCATGCAGTGGCGGCAGCTGTGGGCCTGGGGCGGCCGGGCTCACCTGAATGGGGAGCATTGTGTCTCTGATCCCCGACCTCCTATTTCCCTGATGGAATCTCCAGGAGGAGCCGGCTGGTGGGTGACAGCGCCCCTCCTTCTCCCAAGGCCACGTCAGGGACCACGGTTTCTGTTTAGCTTTCTATTGACACGGCCGATTGTCAGCTTCAGGAAAAGGGGGCCCTGGGGGTGGTGGAGAACAGGAGGTCTGCAGAAGGGGGAGGGTCTCAGCATCTGCCCCACCGCTGGGTGATTCAGGGCTCCCCCCCGCCTGCTCTGAACCTTGGCTTCCTCGTCTTCAACCTGACATTAAGAATAACTGCTTTATAATATCACATAAACAAGGTGCCTGGCCCTGAGGAAGTCTTTCATAAATAGTAGCTATAATTATTCTTAAGAAGAAGAAATGTCAGGAGACGTAGGTTCCTGTCCTTTAACCAGCTTTGCGGCCTTGGACAGCTTCACTTCTACTGGGCATCAGTTTTCTCAGCTGTTAAATGGACTTAATAATAAATCATTGCCTTCTGCTTCCTACAGGGCTAAGTATGAATATATACAAACATATTCTGTGCCCCCCCTAAAGCTTATCACTCCCCACCGCCCCCCACCACTGAATGTATGAGAAGTGCCTTCATGCTGAGAAATTGGAGACATGGCAGCCTGACGCAGTGCCCCGTGTAGTCCTCTGTGCCCCAGTTGGGAAGTGCGTCTCTGTCTGACCAAGTCTTTCCCCAAACAATGCCCCCCTGACACCCGCAGTGGTGGAATCCCAGGCAGGTCCTTCACTCATCCCCCAGCCTTCCTGAAGTCTTGCATGCTCCGCCAGGTGTCCTGAGCATATTGACGGGGTGCAGCTTCAGCTTCCCCGGGGTGACCAATGCAAAGTGGCCAGATGAAGTGTGTTGGGGAGTCGGAGGCACATGCTGTGGGAAGGGGGTTGGCAGGGGAAGCTGAAGCTGGAATGGGACAGGCCTCCGGGGTCTGCTGGGTGAGCTCAGCCCTGGGAGCCGTTGGGGGCGCAGTGGTCCCTGTGGTTCAGACGCTCACTCTGGCTGCAGTGCGAGAGATGGGCTGGCGCTGGTGAGGGGAGACTGGATGAAGGCATCACCTAAGGCAGGACATTGGGAGGGGTGGGGGCTGGGGGAATCAGAGGGCAGCGTGGACTATTCAGGAGGCATCAAGATGACAACAGCCTCAAAATGAGCACTTTCTGTGTCAGGTGCTGTTCTAAGAATTTTGCACATATTAGCTAATCATAAAATCCTATGAGGTGCGAAGTAGAATGATCCGCATTTTACAGATGAGGAAACTGAGGCACAGAGAGGTTAATTAACTTGCCCAGATACACACCCCTGGTAAGTGGCCGAGCCCCTCGCTGTATTGCTCTCTAATGGACAAGACTTGATGGTGGGTTGGATATGGGGGCCCAAGGAAGGTCCAGAATGATCCCCTGGCTCTGGTCAGCACAGCTGGGTGGATGGCAGGGCCCTTCTGGGAAGGGGTCAGCAGGAGAAGGGCAGGTTTGGAAGAAGATGGGGAGTTCAGGACTGGCCATGTTGCGAGGGAGGTGCCTGTGGGACATCCGTGGTCTGGAGGTCAGAGGACACAGTGGGTCTGGGGGGCATCAGGGGCACAGTCACCCTGGGGAGGGCCTCCGAGTGACTCGCTGTGCTCCGTCAGCCTGGCTGGCAGCTCTGGCACTGAGGGCGGGCCAGGGCTCTGGTGCTCCCCGCAGCCCCGCTCATGACTCATGCCTTGTGTGGACCTTGGCAGGTCCGAGGTGCCTGAACAATCTGAGGTGGGTGGGACCCAAGTCCTGGGCTGCCCTCACTGCCCCTCTCAGGGCTCTGTTCTTGGAGGATTTGGCTAAAAATGCTTCTGCCAAGGCCTGGCCCCTGAGTCACTCTCCTCTGGATGGAAGGTGGCCTGGTGCCTCTGGGGGGCACTTGTCCCAAGTGGGGAGCTTGGGAGGAGGTTCCCATCCTCTTGGGAATGCACTAATAGCTCTCCAGGGGAGGAATGCCAGGCTTCAGCACCCATTCCTTCACATCCCACCTGAGACCACCAACAGCTCTGGGGCTGCAGCAAGAGGGCTTCCTCCCCTCCCCCTCTCTGCTGAGCATCATCACAGCTGACAAGAAGGGCAGCCAGGTGCAGGGGCTTGGAGCTGGCTCACCACGGCTGACCGCTGGCTGCTCACCTATTCCTCAGCCAGCCCCTGTCCGCGTCTCCACAATGTCCTTCATTCCGTCGGACTGTTTTTCCTGGCTCATCTCCCTGGGAGCCCCTCTCCTCGCTGGGCAGTGGTGCCCACTCTGTTCTTCCAGCCAAGCCCTCTCCTCTCATCTCTAGACCCCAGCCCGACTACACACCACACAGCTCCAGCTGGATGTCCTGCCAGCATGGCCAGTTCATTCTCTGTGACCTTCCTAAACCTGTGCCATGCTGTCTCCACTGGAGCCCTGCAGCAGCTTCCATTTAGAAAAGAGGCACAGCGGTTAAGTGTGCACGTTCCCCTTTGGTGGCCCAGGGTTCGCCAGTTTGGATCCCAGGTGTGGACATGGCAGTGCTTGGCAAGCCATGCTGTGGTAGGCGTCCCACATATAAAGTAGAGGAAGATGGGCACAGATGTTAGTTCAGGGCCAGTCTTCCTCAGCAAAAAGAGGAGGACTGGCAGCAAACGTTAGCTCAGGGCTGATCTTCCTCAAAAAAAAAAAAAAGTCTCAGCTCTCACCCTGGTGGACTGGCCCCTCTGTTCCCACTCCCTGCCTGATGGACCCCAGCAGTCCCAGCCTCCGGCCCTGCGGAGCCTCTGTGGTGCCTCGTCTGGCCCTCTCTGCCCTACACACGCTCCCTCCTGCCTCTGAGCCTTCATCTTGTGTACATACTGCTCCTTCGGCCAGAACACCCTTTCTGCTTTTCTTGGCCTGACTAGTTCCTGCTGGCCTTGCAAGGTGCAGCTCAGGGTCACTTCCTCCGGGAAGTACTCCTGACTCTGGGGCTGCTCAGTGGGGATCTAGCCTGTTCACCTCTTTTCTGGGGGCTCCCCAAGTGCAAGCTGGGTCTCTGGACCCAACCCCCAGCCAGGACCAGCAAAGCTGTTGCTCACCAGGAGTGAAATGAATGACCCCTTGGCCAGTTCATCTTTCAGGCTGGACACTGCCCCTCCTGGGCCACTATCCCTGATAAAGGCATCCACTCACAGTGGGGGTCAGCAGCGACTTTGTGAGCAGCCCAGCCTCGCTCTCAGCCTGTGCTGAGCCCGGCTCTGGGCCTGCTGGTCATTTCCAAGTCAGCCAGGGCCACCATCTCTGTCTGGGGTTGTGGGTACAGGGTCATCCAGCCTCTTCTTCGGGGTCTCTCTTTCTTTTGAACCCCCTGCGTGGGTTTTCCTGGGGTGAGAAAGGGCTCAGATGTCTTGTTAGTGGCAGTCACAGGTCCCAGCTGTGTCTTGGGGAGTCTTGGCTGGGCTGCTGGCCTCCAGGAAAATCTCCCTTTGGTGGTCTGTATGGCAGTCCCTCCCAGCTCCCGACCCCGGCTGGGAGCATAAATCACCTGGTTGGCTCGGCTCTCCGTATCCCCCTGCAGACCTGCCTGCCCCCACCCTCAGGCCCACTCAGGCAGGCCCCAGGCCAGGACTCCGGCCCAGGCCCCCCTTTACCCACCAAGCATACCCCTCCGCCACGTTCGAGTGGGCTGGGGATGGAGGCCACCCCTCTCCTGGACCGGGCAGCCCCATCCGCGGCACCCTCAGGGCAGTAAATATTATATTACTAGAGGGTGTGCAGTACGTGACCTGAGACAGGCCCCGGGGCTTAAGTTTCCCGAGATGGAGTTTGCGTACCGCTCCCCCCACCCTAAAAATTCAATTAAAAAAAATAACAGGAAAAATGTAGTGCGCCGAGGGCCTGCCGGAGCGGTGTATCTGGCGGCGGCGGGCCGCTGCGCTCCGGCGGTAATTGGTTCTGCATAGCTCGGGGAAATTGGCAGAAAAATAAATCAGCCGGGAGCCGGGAGTCGAGACGCTGCGGGGAGGGGAGTATGAGGTGGGGGGGCGGGGGGGGCGGGGGGGGGAGGGCTGCCAGTGGTGGGAGCAGAACTGGCGGCGGTTTGACTGATGTCCTGTTTGGGAGTCAAGGGCTCAGCGGAGGTGGGGCAGCCCCTGTACCTTCAAGCAGGCATACACCAGAGGGGTCCCACTTGGCAAGGGGGGGCACAGATGCCCCCACCCCAGCCCATCCCCTCCTGCACGACCCTGGGTGTGTACTGACTGACCCCAGAGGCTTGGGGTTCTGAGGAGGAGCCATAGGAAGGAATTTTAGGGAGCCCAGTGGAGTCGGGGGGCAGGGGGGGGGGTCAGAGTTCTTCGCTTCCAAACAGGATTAAGTTTATACTCAACCCCCAACTTGGGGCCTAGAGCAGTGTTTCTGGGGCTGCATGTACCCCCCACCTCCTCTCCCAAGGCTTCCCGAATGCAGGGTTCTGGGAGGGGCATGGTGGGGCCGCCCTGGGTGGACACATCTGTATTGCTGGCTCGCGGCCTCCCCACAGCGTCTGCAGTGGCTTGTCAGGGGTCCATAAATTTCCTTCTTGAAGAAAGTGTGCGTACAACAGAATAGATTCGTTTCAGCCAAGGGCAGCTTAGTGCTCCGGCCTCTGCTCCAGGAGGATGCAGGGAGCAGCTCTGAGAGCTGGCAGCCAATAGGACAGAGGGGGCACACATACAAAAGAACTCCCACCCCTCAGGTTGAGGATGAGTTTCACACAGGTGGCCCCAGAGTCAAGGGCTGGGGGACTTCAGAGCCGGAGGCATGCGGGCCAGTGTGATGGGGGGAGGTTCCCTGGAGGAGATGAGGATGGAGCAGATCACACGGAGATGACTATGCGTGTGGGTCAGGCTGGAGAAGGCACCCAGGGCACAAGGAGCACCCAGCAGGCAGGCCGAGGCTGTGGGGCATGTTATGGAGGCCTGTGCACACGTGTGTGTACGTGCCTGTGTGCGCCTGGACCTAGACGAGCACTGGGCTCCTGCGTATCAGGCACGTCCCATCTGTGTTCCTCACAGCCAGCCCCTGTGCAACGTCCAAGAGACGCCCTCTGCCACCCACCTGGACCAGTACCTGTACCGGCTGCGCACCCGTCACCTGAGCCAGATCAGTGAGGCGGCCCTGGCCTTGAAGCTCGGCCACAGTGAGCTCCCCGCCGCCCTTGAGCAGGCTGAGGACTGGCTCCTGCGTCTCCGTGCCCTGGCGGAGGAGGTAGCTAACCCTGGGAGGTGTCTTCCTTCCTGCTTGGAACATTAGCACTGGGAGGGACATCGGGACTGTCTGGACCATGATCCAACCCTGGCTCCATTGCTGGGTGACCTTGGGTAGGTGACTGCCTCTCTCTGAGCATCCATGTCCCCATTCACAGGAGGAGGAAAGAGGGTGCGACTGGATTCTGGGTGTTGTGGGGCCCAGCTCAGAGCCTGGCATGTAGTAGGTGTCCTATAATGCCCCCAAACCTGCTCAATAATTGCCACCAATGTACGTCAGAGACAGAGCTGGGACCAGAACCCAGGGTGCCCGGCTGTAGGTCCAGTGCTGGGACCTGCTTCCCCGGGGACCCAACTCCTTCTCCGTGTCATCCTGTGCCTGTGTGCACCTGGCCTTGCACCTGCCCTCTGGGGCCCTGCGTGTCCTGCCCCGCTGGATGCCTCTGAGCCCCAGACCCAGGAGGCTGCATGTGCAGTAACTCTGAGCTTTGTTGTATCTAATCCGAGAGAAGTGGCTCCAGCCGTCTTCAAGGGCACCCCTTCCCCACCTGCATACCGCCGCCCTGAGGTCAGGTGCACCCACTCAGTTTCCCAAGCAAGCAGGCAGCCCACGGATTTGTCCAGAATGAGCATGAAGGTCTCCTTATATGTCACGGGCGGACCAGCTGCTGCCCACTCGGACCAGAGCCCTGTGGTTCCCCCAGGGAGGGGCTGGGGGATGGTGAGGAAAAGGGCCTGAGGGGGGCCTCAGAGGAGCCAGTTGTTGAAGGGGACAGGGAGGTCCAGGAGGTGGGAGGCTGCTCAGGAGGGGAAGGCAGCCCGAAATTTTGGTCCTAGAGAGTCAGCCTTGGATGCATCCCCGAGGAGGGCCTCGGGCATGTGGCCAGCTACCTGGGGGAACACTGTGTTGCTCAGCCACAGGCCGACCCCTCACAGTGGCTGTGGACCATCCGCTGTGGCTGGTCACAGGCTGTCTTCCATCGTCTTGGCCCAGACCAACTGGGGAACTCTCAGCACAGGTTGCGATGGGGCAGAGAAGGGTTAAGTCAGAGGGGTGCTGTTGACTGTAAGGGAGCCGGAGAGAGTCCTTCTCAACTTTGAGAGGGCAACACAGTCCCCTGAAGGGCTTGTTGAAACAGGTATGGTGACGGAAAAAAACTAGACTGTCGGTGGTGAACACGACGCAGTCTGTATAGAAACTGATAGCTAGTATCGTTCGCTTGAAGTTTACACAGTGTTATAAGCCAATATCACCTCAATTAAAAAAAAATAAATAGGTTGCAGGCCCCACCTGATCCCACACATCTGGGGTGGAGCCTGAGAATTTGCATTTCTAGCAAGTTCTTAGCTAGTGCCGTGGCTGCTGTTGCTCTGGGGACCACACTTTGAGAACCCCTGGTGCAGTGGTCAGCAACACGTAAGTGGAGCCAGAAAAACCCGGTTGGTTCCTAACCTCTTTGAGCCTGAACTTCCTTGCCAGTCGGAAGGGGCTGCCTGTCCCTGCCTCCTGGGCTGCTGCAAGGATGCAGCGAGAGGGTGCCTGGGAAAGGCTGAGTGGGTGCTCCGGGGCATCAGCACTCAGCCCCAGCCCTGGTTAGAGACCCGGCCCCCCCAACCGCGCACACGTTGCTTACCAGCCTTGGAAGCAGACAGATGTAACCGTCTCTCGTGAGTGTGGTGCTGGGAGCAGTTCTCGCCCACAGCTGGAGGTTTGAGGGGCTCAGGGGCCCTGCAGTTTTGTTCTGGGCTTGTCATCATTTTCAGAGCCTGGTGTCTCCAGGCCCAGAAAAGGGTCAGACCACAAGGGTCCCTGCTGTTAGAGGGAGGTGGGAGCGAGCGTCCTCTGGGAAGGTGTGCACCTTCTGTGGATTCGCGTTTGCTCTCAGGGGTGAGGAACGGAGGGTGGCATCTTAAGGGTCATGTCGTCTTCTGGGTCAAATCAAATCCTTCCATGTCTACCCCCTGGGGGCATCTACCTACCCAGTGGAGGGGATCGAAGAACTTAAGCTCTGGGCTCCGGGCAGGAGTGTCTCTTCCTGGAAAACTCAGCTTGGTGAATCTTTGGCAGGCTCCTCGTGTGAGCAGGGGCAGCCTCACACCGTAACCTTGGGGCTCAAAGCTGGTGAAGACAGGGGTGCCCAGCCAGCCCTGGCAGGTCAAAGGGGTGGCCGGGAGTGGGCAGTGTGAGGGATGGAAGCTGAGAGGAGAAGCCCATTCCAGAGCCGGGGTAGGTCAGCTCACAGTGGGCTGTGGGGTGCGGGCCCAGGCACGTCACCGTCTCCACCGTGACTGCCACCCTCTCTCCAGCCCCAGAACAGCCTGCCTGACGTGGTCATCTGGATGCTGCAGGGAGACAAGCGGGTGGCGTACCAGCGGGTGCCCGCCCACGAGGTCCTCTTCTCCCGGCGGGGCGCCAACTACTGTGGCAAGAATTGTGGGAAGCTGCAGACGATCTTTCTGAAGGTGGGTTCTTTTTCCTCAAATCACGATTGTATTTTCTCAGCCCAAGGCCTGTCCCCCTCCCCTTCTGTCTCTCCTCCTGTTCTCTATCCGACTCAGAGTCCTTGGGCTCTGCTCTGAAGGGGTGGAGGGCACTGGGCAAAGTGACCCCCGTTCCCCTTTATCCCTAGACCCCATGCACCTGGTCTAGAAAGTTAGCAGGTAAGAGCTGGAATCATGAGGCCCTGGGTATGTGGCCCTGGGCCGTCTGGGAGGGGCTGACCCCTGAGGCAGTGCTGCCATCCCAGCCAGTCCCTGGTAGGGGGCCCCAGCTCCCACCCCCAGCCTCTAAGAGCCCTGGCACAGACCTGCCTCCACACCCTGCTCCAGCTGGAGTCACACCTGGGTTCAAGTTCTTCCCTGTGGCTCTGCCCTGTTGAGAGCTGTGGGAGCACGTGCCCCAGGCTCCCCGGCCCACCTCTCCTTCCCTTTCTCCTCCTCCAACACCCATCCTCGCTCCCTCTCCATCTTCTCTCAGGGGATTCAGCAGCCTTGGGGTGGGGAGACAGGAAAGTGAGCAGGTGCCGGGGGAGCCCCTGTCCTCCTCTGTGGGTTAATGTGGGGACATAGAGCCGAGGCTGCTTTGGTCGGGGCACTGTGGCATGGTGGTGAGGACACCATTGCGGGAAATCTCTTGCTGTGCTGTGGCTGCCCTGGCTCAGGGCACGGTCCCTGTGTGGTGGGCTGTCATGGAGGCTGCCCTGCTAGAGGAGGAGTGGCCCTGGGAGGCAGGCCCACCCCTCATACTTACCTTGGCTCTGCTGGTGTTATAAACTGCTTGGCCTTCAACCTTTCCCTATCCCATGTCTCTCCTCCCATGCACACCAGGACCAACTCCTGCCTTGCCTCTGCCAGGAAGTCACTGTTAACTAACCTCTGAGTGGCTCTTGGTCCACCCATTCATGTGCTGGCTGGTCATTCTTGTTGCCCCCTGGGCTGGGTAGAGAGGGCAGGTTTCAATGGCACAGTGTGCGTGGACAGTTGCAGGGCTGGCTGGAATCCTGTGTGGCCTTGGGCAGGTTGTCTAACCTCTCTGAACTGCTGGCTATCTTCTCACCTGTAAAATGAGGATCAGGCTGCCCACTTCACAGGTTTCGAGGATTGAATTAGGTAACACAGGTCATGGGTCTTGCTGGAACAAGGTGATGGATGGATATTAGTTTCTCTCCCCTCTTCTCCCCTTTTCCTTTTAGGGAGCTCCCTTGCTCCCTGGGAAGAGGGGGCTCCACCAACACCATGAAGGGAGGCCAACCCAAGGCCAGGGATGAGAAGATGTTCGTACATGGGGTCATTGGTACTTCAGAGGAGAGGCCAGCTTTGCCTAGAAAGAGGGGGCGGAGGGGTGTCGGGCAGTGGGCTGCCTCCTCCCACCTGCTCACATGCCACCTGGGGCATGTTCCGCGTGGGATCCTAAACTCCTAGCATCCTGCTTTTCTCCCCCCTAAGCCAGCTCCTTGCCTAGTAGGACAGAAGGGAAAGGAAGTCAGGAGCTGCGGCCTCTGAGCGGGGTTAACCAGGGAGGGCTGTGGGCAGGCGTGGGGGTGGGGCCGCAGAAGCGGGCCTGGGGGATGCTCGGGGACCAACGGGATGAGCTCCAGGCTCCGACCTCTCGGCCCTGCAGCCTCGGGGAAATGCAAACTGAAAAATTTCCCTGATTCCAAGCAAAAAGAAAAAAAAAAAAAAGATATAGAATTGTTTCTCGAAGTCTTCCCCACTGAGTTTATGAGCCCCGCCAGTAGCTCCTGAGCAAGCTCTACAAAAATGTTGGCAGCAAGCAGAGACCAAGAAAACATTGGTGTTTCTTAACTTAAACCAAAGTTGGAAAAAATGAGCAGCAGCAGAGAGGGAGAGGAGCCCCAAACTAGACATTTCTTTATTTGCTGTTGCTATTTTGGGTCCGGCAGGCTGGCCCCGTCTCGGGGAGGGCAGGGGAGAGACTGGGGGTGGATGGGGGGGTCAGGCATTCCTGCCATCTCCCTGGGGCTGGTGGTTTGGAGGGGAAAAGGCCGCTAACCATCCCAGGGGAGAGGACAGCTAAAGTGAACAGTCATGCAGAGGTTTCCGAGGGGTGACACATGGGGTCAGGGGCTCCTTCAGGCTTCTCCGAGGATGAACCAAGAGCAGAGAGGCTGGGTGGATGGTGAGACCATCCCTGCCTTGGCATATCCTGTGCCCTGGTCCTCTTACCGGCCTGGGCTTTCCCTCCAGGGACCCAGGCCTCCTCTGGTATTTGGAGACCCCTTCCCTGGGCCTCCCTTTCCTCTTCTGAACCCATCAAAACTCCTTTCTCCTCTCATTCACTTCCCTGTCCCAGAGGAGGTACTCCTTCAGCCTCACACACACGAAGTCTAGGTACTTAATGTGTTACTTCCTCTAACGGACAATGTGTTATTCTAAGAGTGAGGAACTTCTGCTCCTCAGGCCGTATCTGACCCTTGATTTCAATCAAATGGTGAAGTAGTTGTGGAGAATAAATTTTTTATGTTGGGTTGTGGTTATTCCATTTTGGCAGAGCTTCTGAAAGTTTCAGGATAAAAAGCAGTTGAAGACCAGTGAATAGTGGTTAACATACTGATAAGCACTTGAAAGGGTAGGAATATCAGATGATACACTAACATCCAGCCAAAAAAAACGCAAAAACAACAACACTGAAAATGAAGGGGAAGACTTTAACTTCTTCCCCTTCCAGACCTGGATCATTGTATCACCTTTAGAGACAAGTTCCAGAACTGCATTGTCCAATATGGTAGCCAGAAGTGGCTATTTATATTTAAATTAGTTAAAGTTAAATAAAACTAAAAATATAGTTCCTAAGTCACACTAGCCACATGGGGCTTGTGGCTACCCTATTGGGCTGTTCAGATATAAACCATTTCCATTGTAGCAGAAAGTTCTACTGGACAGTGCTATTTTAGAAGAGACTAGAAATGAGGATGTGGTGGGAGAGGGGAGAATGGGGGATCCCGGGCTAGACATGGCCCATCTCTGAAGAGGGTGCCTCGGTGGGGATGGTGCAGTCTTCTCCTTTGATGGGAAGGCATCTTGGCAGGTGGGGAGTTGTCTTGATCGTACACTCCTTGTCTATGAAATTCTAAGTTCTCCAACAGGGCACATACCTAGTGGGGTGTCAGGCTGGTATGCCCAGGCTGGAGGATCCCCACCCCCAGCTGGGACCTCCTGACCCTGCCGGGGATTGTGGGTTTCTGTTCTTCTCTGGTACCCAGTATCCAATGGAAGGGGTGCCGGGAGCCCGGATGCCGGTGCAGATACGGGTGAAGCTCTGGTTCGGGCTCTCTGTGGATGAGAAGGAGTTCAATCAGTTTGCTGAGGGCAAGCTCTCTGTCTTCGCTGAAACCGTGAGTGCCTGCTGCCCCGCCCCCTGCCCTGCCTGGAACTGCCACGGCTCCCACTCACTTCTCTTTATTGCTTGCTGTCCAGTACGAGAACCAGACCAAGCTGGCCCTAGTCGGGAACTGGGGCACAACGGGCCTCACCTACCCCAAGTTTTCTGACGTCACAGGCAAGATCAAGCTACCCAAGGACAGCTTCCGCCCCTCGGCCGGCTGGGCCTGGGCTGGAGAGTGGTTCGTGTGTCCGGAGAAGACGTGAGTCATGGGCAGGGAAGGCTTGGGGACCCCTCTCTGCCCCGGCCCTGTCTCTGAAAGGCCTCGGCCCTATTATTGCCTCTGCCTAGTCCACCTCCCTGGTCAAGGGGATTCCCACCAGAACTCTCCCAGGCCTAGGGGCTCACTAGGCAGCTGTCCCTTCTGGAGGGGCTCTGACAATCGGAAAGTCCTTTATTATTAAGCTGGAGTTGGCCTCCCTTCAACTTCGCGTCCATTGGTTGCGGCCGTCTCCTCCGAGACGCCACAGAAAGCGTCTCCTCCTCCGCGTGTTGGCCTCCTCCTGTCTGAGGGCCTGTCTCTCTCTCAGGGCCCCTCAGAACATCGTCCTTCTCCGTCTGCACTGCCATCTCTACCTCTTTCTCCTCTCTCTCTTTCCTTGTTTGGTTGACATTCAACAATTGGGATTTTTTTTTTTTACTTAAAAAAATTGAAGTATAACATTTTATAGTCAAGTATGCAAATCTTAAGCATACAGCTTAACATTTCTACATTTCTACATTAACATTTCACATTTCTACAACTATCTGTTGAGCTTCAGCTCCCCGCCAGGCTTCTGCTGTTCAGATCTCTTTCTCTTTTTGCTGTCTTTCTCCTTCTTGATCTTGGGTGGTGGCGTCTTCTGTCCGTGAGTGTCTCCAGGTCTCCCTGGGTGTTCCCTTGACTTTCTGCCCCCTCCTTGCCCTCTCCCCTCCATCTCTCATTGTTGGTTGGCGCGAGGCTGCCTCGGGAAGGTTGGCCAAGGCCAGGGGGGAGCTGTGTTGGGAGCAGTGGATGGGGGGCTCCTCGGCGGAGGCTCTGACGGGCCCCTGCCTGTAGCCTACTCCACGACACCGATGCGGGCCACCTGAGCTTTGTGGAGGAGGTGTTTGAGAACCAGACCCGGCTGCCCGGAGGCCAGTGGATCTACATGAGTGACAACTACACAGATGTGGTAAGGGGGGCGCTCCAGGGGCAGGTGGGCTCTGCTTTCCTGAAGTCTTGGACATTTGGGCCCAGGAGGGGCATGTGGCTCAGAGAAGGGTGTGACATTTTCTCCCCTGCTCCCATGTCCCCAGCCTCCGTGCTGTGGTTAACAGAGGGACGGTGTGAGGTCCATTGTGGGTAGGACACTGACCCCGATTTGCACCAGAGGCTTCGAGGATGTACATTGTCAAGTGGCACCTTTTCAGCTTCCCTGATCACATCTGTTTCTTCTCACGCATGCCTGGCCTGTGTTGCCCTAGAACGGGGAGAAGGTGCTTCCCAAGGATGACATCGAGTGCCCACTGGGCTGGAAGTGGGAAGATGAAGAATGGTCCACAGACCTCAATCGGGCCGTTGACGAGCAAGGTGGGCAGCACATGGACCCCCGTGAACCCACCCCAGCGAGCTGATGCGGCATGCTGGTGGGGACAGCTGAGTGCAGGGCCCTTGCCCTGGGGCACTGGCCTTCACTGGGCTCCTTCCTCTGGGGGACTTCCTGGGTGAGCCCTCACTCCAAGCTACAAATTAGGAGTCTGTAGCCGCTCATGAGTCTGTGAGTGTGCCCCGAAGGGAGACATGGCTTCTGGAGAGATGGGAATGGCTGGGCAATGAGTGATGGGTGCTCCTCCCCCAGGCTGGGAGTACAGCATCACCATCCCTCCGGAACGGAAGCCAAGGCACTGGGTCCCTGCCGAGAAGATGTACTACACACACCGTCGGCGGCGCTGGGTCCGCCTGCGCAGGAGGGACCTCAGCCAGATGGAGGCGCTGAAGAGGGTGAGCCCAGAGGGCGGTGGGTGGGGGTGAGGCCCGGATGGGGGGAGGCCAGCTGAGCACAGGTGCACACCTGTGTGCACAGACACACACAAGTGTGCATGGGACGTGTACAAGGCACACCAGCTCACTTGAGATCCCTACAGATCACACCCAGAGTACACACAGATCACACACAGAGCCTCACAGACCACACCCAGCACACAGACAGATGCTCACAGATCACACCTAGTGTACACACAGACCACACCCAGCACACGCACAGATAACACCCAGCATATACAGATGCTCACAGATCACACCCAACATATTCACAGATGCTCACACCCACATACACGCAGATCACACCCAGCACACACACAGATCACACCCGACACACGTACCTATCACACCCAGCACATGCACAGATGTTCACAGTCAGAAAACACTCAGATGCCCACAACTATGCAAGCACACTTGGAGTTCACACGCAGACCCAGGAGGTGCAAAGACATACTTAGAGTGTGTCTGCCGCCGGGTGTCCTGGAATTTGAGACAGGGATTGGGCGACATGCTGTTTGTGAGGCAGGGCTCTCAGGAGTACCAGGAGCAAGGATGTGGTCTCAGCTGAAGTCAGCTTTGGCCTGAGCGGTGGCTCAGGGAGGGGCGCACCCTGGAGCACCACAGAATCATTCTCACCTGGAGGCAAGGGGGCTGGGGTTTGCACCCTCTTGGCCATCAGTCGTTGGCTGTGGGGGGTGGGCGGGGGCACGGACCTTCCCCAGAGAGCCTGCTCCCTTCAGCAGGAGCAATTTCCTGGAGAAGGGGCTGCTGGAGCTGGTAACTGCCGACTCTCCTGGCAGCTGGGGACGGATGCTCTGCATGAGTGCACTGGCTAATAAAGGGGCCTGGGGGGCTCTGTCAGCATTTACATGTGCACAGGGTGGGCACACATGCCCACTGCCCTGTCCAGATACCCACAGGGCACGCCGCGCCTGCTCCCAGGGTCACACAGTGCCATGTCCTGCACAGCCTCAGTGCCTGCCTCCCCTGGACCCTCTTGGTTTGCGTCCTCCATTCCCAAGCACACATTTGAATTTTGGCACAAGAACCAGGCTTCCCCCAGCCCAGGCATAGCCTTTGGTATGACCCAAGTCTCTTCCTCTCTCTTTGGGCACAGAGAATCTAGAGAGGAAGGTCACTGGGTCCCAGGAGAGGCAAGGCTTTTGGGCAACAAGCTGTTCTTGGTGCCATGAACCAGACAGACTCCACTGTCCCTATGAGGGCACCCAGGGGACAGAGGCAAACCTTGCCAGGCAGTGTGCCTTGGCGGCTCCCTCCCCATCAGCTTCCATCCTGGAGAGGGACACAGCTGGCCTCCAGGGCTGGCACTGGTCACTGAGTTCATGGCCCAGGCCTGGGACAGCTCCTGAGGACAGTCCCAGGTCACTCTCTCTCATGAGCTGGGTAGGAGGGAGCTCCCACAGGCCCTCTCCAGGTCCTGGAAAGGGTCCCCTCGGAGGAAGTACAGGGGCTCCCTCCATGGCTGACCTAGGCCTAATCTTGTGGAGAAATCGCCGGAGCTGGGAAATAGGATTTTGCCTCTGAATTGCAGACCCACTTCCATTTTTATAAGCTGGGATGTGAAGATGAAAAAGGAAATGACAAGAAAACCTTGGATTCATGAAATCCACCCATAATCCAAATAAACAAACAAACCCAAAGCCCAGTGCTTTTCATCCCTGCGTCAGTCTACCTTCCCTTTCTGGCTCCTTGGATCTCCCCACAGCCCAGGGAGCCTCTTCCCCTCTGGATGTTCTGACCCACAGCTGTTGCTCCAGAAGTTGCTCAAAGCCCCCTCCTCCGGGTGGCCCTCCCAGGTTTTCCCACCTAGAGGGTGCTGGTTTGGGGAGTAGTGAGGGGCAGGCAGGGCACCGCTGGAGCTGAGCCCGGGCTTCCCACAAACCTGCCAGCCAGCCTCTGTCCTGCTCTCCCCATGCAGCACAGGCAGGCGGAGGCGGAGGGCGAGGGCTGGGAGTACGCCTCGCTCTTCGGCTGGAAGTTCCACCTGGAGTACCGCAAGACCGATGCCTTCCGCCGCCGCCGCTGGCGCCGCCGCATGGAGCCACTGGAGAAGACAGGGCCTGCAGCTGTGTTTGCCCTCGAGGGGGCCCTGGTACGTCCCTGCCCGAGTCCTGGGTCCTCTGGGGTGTGGCTGGGTCTGCTAGGGCTGTTCAGGGCCGACACTGGGGAGGTGCAGGGGCCCGTAGGATGGGACTGGGGGTGGAGCATTGGCCGGTCATCCTGGCTTCAGTTCTTCTGGAGTTGCATGTGGGGCAAGTGGGCACCAGTCTAGATGTCCTCCTAAAAGAAAGCAGCCCCTTTCTTGGCACCAGAAGACCTGCTGCTCCTTTGCAAAGTCAAGATGGGAGCTGGGGGAGAGGGCCGTGGCCCTCTGATGGCCTGCCTTGTGCTGGAGCCAAGGACCGGCTCTTTTGAAGAGGCTGGCTGGCATGGGGTGGGCCCGGGACACTTTGACGCAGCCTGTGGGAGTTGTCAGAGAGGTCTAGTGACCTCTGAATGTCCCTGGGTGGACATGAGCCCTCCTGGGACGGAGGCCACTGCTTGGGCATCCCCAGGAATTTGAGGGGAGAGAGGTGCCTCAGAAGCCGAGCCCCGGGCAGGCTGTCCTGCCCCGTGGACACTTTCTGGTGCCAGTAGAATTGGAATCCGCTCAAGGTTGTCCGGGGTTATCAAGGTTGGATGATATGTTCCCCAAAGGAGATGAGATGCTCTTCCTGGACAGTCCGAGTGGGGACATTCAGGGCCAAGACATAGCCTGTTCCCTGCTCTGTTGGTCTGGGCATTCCTGGAGGTGGGAATGAGATGCCCAGGGTGTGACACCCTCTCTGAAATCCAGCCAGCATCGCCTGCCCCCCAGGGGGTGCTTTGGGCTGTGACCCTGAGGAGCAAGTCCCACTAGCTGTGCAGGCTGATGGAATCTAGTGTGTCTGTGTGCAGCCAGCTGTGTGTGTGTGTGTGTGTGCATGTGTGCCTCTTTGGTCAGTGGGAGGAGCAGTGGGTCTTAGTCCTGGGCTGGGGCCGGGCACACAGCTGTGGGACGGTGCTGCTGTGAGGGCTGGGGGACTACAGTGGCACAGGCCCAGGATCTGATGGTGTGGGGACAGGGAAGGGGGTTGGGGCTGGCAGTGCCCCTGAGAAGGGGTGATCAGGAACCAGAGGTTCCTTCACTCTCAGGCCTTGACTGTGGGCCAGGCCCAGGGGTGGCAGCAAGGGAAAGGAAGCCTCTGGGGGCCAGGTGCATCAGAGACGCCTGTCATAGGCTCCAGAGGGGCCCTTCCCTGGTCTTGCAGACAAGTCGTGGGGAGGCCGGGAGGAGACGGCCCAGCCCTGGGCTCTCCGGGCCACTGAGGTGGCGCTCAGGTCGGGTTAGGAGCAGGGCGGGGTAGAACTGCCACCCAGCTTGGAGCAGCTGCAGCTGGGGAGTCTCGTGGGACAGGGCTGGTGTTCAGTGACTCCCATTCTCTTGTTGGAAAGGGCCTGGCTTGGGCACAGGGTGGGGCCTGGGGGTGGTCATGTGGCTCCAGTGGAGGGGTTGGGGGATCAAGGCCTTGGCAGACCTCAGAGTCAGGGCCAGGGCTATGGAGCCCGGGCGGGCACCCTTAGGAAGGAGGGCTTGTTTCCATCAGACAGAAACTCAACTCAAATGGGCCAAAGAGAGAAAACGGGTTTCAGGCCTCAGATAGCCGGGAAGAGCCTGAGAGGTGAATGGGGCAGCAGGCCTGGCAGGAAATGGGGGTTCCCCCAGTGTCCTGTGACTGTTTCTGACTGGCTGCTCTGTCTTGGCCTCGTTCTCACACTGGCTCGCTCGGTAGCAAAGATGGCGCCCGTGGCAGAAGGCTGACATCCTTTTTACAGCCAGTGAAGCACACCCCGTGTCCTCTGTTCTCCTCAGAGCTGGAGACCCCAGAGGGGCGCGTGCTCCTTCTCCATAACCAGTAACAGTCTTGTGTGTGGCTGACTGGGTGTGCTTGGTCATGTACCCACACCAGCCCCTGAGCCTGAGGTGAGGAACAGAATGTTCTGATTGGCCATGCTGGGTCACCCCCCTTTTCTGTGGTTGACAGCAGCACCAGGTCAGGGAGAAGAGCATCTGAAAGGGGAAAAAATTCCCCAAAACAGTGCTGGGCAAAGAGCTACAGATGACACCCATGGGACTGTTCAGTGAGCAGTAGGGAGCCAGTGTGGGTTGTTGAGCAGAGGAGTGCTCTGGTCAGAGCTGGGCCTTAGGGCCATTGATTAAGTAGCTGTCTCCACGGTTGGGGAGGGGGAGCCTCCCTTCGGGAGACCATCAGGAGTCTTGCTTAGACATCAGGGACAAGGAGACCATCCAGGGTGGGGGCTGTGGGACTGAGTGGAGGGAGGCGGAGAAGCAGGGCTTGGGGAGGGGAGCGTCAGAGAGGCCTCAGAGCTCCTCTGGGTGGATGGGAGGGCCGCTCCCATCGCCAGGCTGCGGGGTGGGGTGGACCTGGGCTGCGATGAGTTCACGGTTGGCCCTGGCAAATGTGACACACACACACGGTGAAGTGCTGCGTGAGGAAGATGGGTCTGGCAGCTGCCTGCCAGGCGGCCCACGGCAGGGAGGCCGAGGGGCCTGGGAGCTGAGCGTCAGCTGTGAGGTGAGGGGGCCGTGGAGAGAGAGGGCGCAAGGCCAGAGGTGCCCAGAGACACGTGGATGGAAGTGTGGATGGGCTCTGGGGCCGGCCAGGATGTGGGGGAAGAAGATGAGCAAGGCTCCGGGACCCACTGCCAAGCATTCACGGCTCGGTGACTGGGAGAATGAAGCGGGGCATTTCCCAGAACAGAGAACCAACCCGTTTATTCTTCGTGTGGGAGAAAATGTCATGAGGGAGCGCTGAAATCAAATGTCAGTCAACAGCCGTGGGAAGGTGATTGACTGCCATGCAGCTATGACTCGCCTGTGATATGTGGAAGAAACCAGCACAGTGGAGCCCTCTGAATCCTGGGGGGCGCTTTGCTGACATAGAGACCCAGAGGCAGACAGTGGTTGGAGAGGCTGGATCCCACAAACCTGGGGTTGGAGGACAGAGAGTTTGGGAAAGTCTTTAGGTGTGGCTGGCATTTGGACAGGGCCACAGGCCCATTTGACAGGAACTGTCTGGACCACTCTACTTGAATGAATCGGGCCCCCATCAGTCCACACACACACACTCACTCCTTCCTTGGTCACCTTTACATGCTTTCTGCCAGGACCAAGGACAACCTAGCCTCCTGTCCCTGAGCCTAGTGTACTTTGTCCCTGGATGTACTGATGCCCCAGCAAGGCATTGGAGCTGAAGTCCACTCGATATCATGGGGGCAGGTGGTTGGGTTTCCTCGGTACCAGGCCCACCCACTGTTCTGGGTGCTGGCCTTTGCCCACTGGTCGCTGATGTCTGCTCAGTCACTTGGCAGGGGTGTGGCAGGATGGGTGAGTGGTGCAGGTTTGATTTGAATTCTGCTTCCTCTGTGGACAGATCATTTACCCTTTTAGTGACTCTGTTAGCTTACTCATGAAAGTCACCACATCCTAGGATCCTTTTTTTCTTTTTGCTGAAGAAGATTCACCCTGAGCGGACATCTGTTCCAGTCTTCCTCTATTTTGTATGTGGGTCACTGCCACAGCTTGGCTGTGGATAAGTGGTGTAGGTCTGTGCCTGGGAACCGAACCCGGGCTGCCAAAGTGGAGCACACTGAATTTAACCACTAGGCCATAGGGCCGGCCCCCCATCCTAGGGTCTTTGTAAGGATTAAGGACATGAGGCTTAAAGAAGTGCTTCTTAGACTTAATGAACATAGGAGCCATCCGGGGGTCTTGTTAAAATGCACACTCTGGATTCAATGTCCAGGTGGGGCCCGAGTGTCTCCAGTTCTATCAAGCCTCCAGGTGGTGCTGAAGCTGCTGGTCCAAGGACCATCTTTGAGTAGCAAGATTGAGAAGCACACAGTACATCATGAAGATGAGGGAGGTGGTCACATTGGCCCCCCAACGTGGACACCTGTCTGAGGGAGGCGGGGTGTGCCTACTCCTGGCTGAAGGTGTGCGGCCAGGGTCCTGGAGCGGGAGGCGGGGAAAGATGACATGCTCTCCCTGCTCTCTGGTGGGAGGAAAGTGATCTTTTCTTTTAATGATCCCCCAATCTGATGGTGGAGGCCTGGCCCAGGGGGAACTGCTGTCTGACAGGAAGAGAGTCGGCCACGTGCGAGTGCCAGTCAGCCCAGTGGACTCTGTGTCTTTGAAGCGCTGGAGGGCAGAATAAGTCATTGCAGAGTGACAGTGCCTAATGAGGGAGGCTTCTCGGGGGAGGACATCGCGAGTCAGAGCTTGAAGGAGTCCAGGGAAGGACTGTGGGTGGTGGCCAGGTGGCCTTCCTGGTAATCTGACATTTGTGGATGTCTGGGCCCAAGGACCAGGCCTGTGGCGCCCCCTTGCCTCCTACCACCCCTCCCCTGGCCCATGCATCCTCCAGCAAGCTGAGCCTCGCTTGCCAGCTCCCTTCCTGAAGACGTCTCGCTGGAAGGCAGGCCCTGTCTGCTCATTAGCACGGGCAGCCTTTCCCTGAAACCTTCTGCCGGGGCCAAGCCTGGCTCCCTCCGCGGAGCGGGAGGCCCTGGCTCTGTCTGCTAATCGTCTGCTGTCTCCATCCCGAGCATTATTTTATTTTCGTATTATTCTTTTTCCAGCTAATATCCTGGCATTCCCAAAGACACCGGGTTTCATAATCTTCCTGGCGTTCCCAGGGAGCTGGGAAGCGGAGCACAAAGCTGCTATTATAGCGTCTCCTCGCCCCACACCCCTTGCTGCCGCCACCACCACAGCCGGCTCCCACCCAGCCACCCCCCTCCCGACGCCACCGGCCTCTCTGAGAACTCTGGTGACGGCTGCTGGGATGAGCTCACAGGATCCGGCCTGTCGCCCTTGCCCTGGGCCTGCCCTCCACGCGCGAGGATTTTTCCAGAGCCCTGCCTCTGCGCTTGGCTCTGAGCATCGGGAAGGGTTTTCTGAGCTGCCTGAGCCCGGGCAGGGAGGGGAGGGGACCGAGACTCAGAGACTCGGCAGCGTGTGCTCATAGTCTTGGGGGTTTTTAGAGCTGG